TACTCATAGAATGGAAACCTAGAGAAAACAAGAGACACTGACTTGGTCCACCATCAAGATGGATAGACGAATTACGAAAAACAGCATGAAATTGGATGCAGAAAGCACAGGATAGGGAAGAGTGTAGGAGCATGGAGTTTAAAAGACAACGATGATGATGATGAATTGTTACAAATAATTATATAACAGTACTAGTTCTTATTTTGAAAATCTATAATTTGGAAATCCGTGAAAAGTTTACAAGATGTTACGTGTGGTCTGTACTTTTGTATGGATGTGAAACTTGGACTTTAAACGCCGATATTATAAATAAAATTGAGGCGTTTGAGATGTGGTTGTGAAGGATACTAAAAATTCCATGGACTAGCAGAACCAGAAACGAAGAAGTTTTTCGAAGAATGGGACATCAACGAACTCTATTAAATATTATTAAGAGGCGTAAACTAGAATATCCCTTACATATAATCAGAGGACCAAGATATGTGTTTCTTCGGCTAATTCTCAACGGTAAAATCGAAGGAAAGAAATGGATAGGACGGAAGAAACTTTCTTGGTTGAGGAATTTGCGGCAGTGGACAGGTTTGACAGCGGACCAATTGCTACACGTAGCCCAAGACCGAGATCAGTATAATAATATTATAAGCATGGCAGTCGCCGACGTTCCGTAGGGATATGGCACTCTAAGAAGAAGAAGTTCTTATTTATCTTTATTTATAGTGCGAGCATAATTTTTCACTGAATGTTTTTAATATTATCATAAAAATGTTTTAGCGCTACGAGAAAAAGAAGAATAATAACCCATTTGAACATTTTATGAGAGATTTAATCTCTAGGCTTCTCCGAAAGATGTCTAAGAAAATATCAGGCAATTTTCAGTCCAAATTAAACTATCAAACAAATCATCAAACAAATACTATGCAGAGCTATAAATGAACTAAGAAATTAAAAAAAAATTGTTCTTCCAAACTGACTAAGAAACATTTAGAATTGCACATCAAATCCCTTTGAAATCCACATATACGTAAATAATGTGATATGCTGACGTATCAGTTTTAGAAAATGTTAGTTTAGACGGAAGGTAGTTTTAGTATCTTCAAAACTAAATAAAGATCTTCTTCTTTTGCGGGTGCTGCCCGCATTAATAGACCAGTAAAATAGAATGTGAAATTCGGCGATACCCTGTAATTTTCCGGTCACCACCAAATTGATGCAAATTTGGATTTAGGTTCTACTTACCCTCCACTTCACTTTTGGACCTATGCCTATGGTTGCTTTTTATTTTTTAAGGACGAAAACTACCCTTATTTAAAAAAACGTATAATTGTAAAATAAAGCAGGTAATTGATTGAAATTATATTTTAATGAAGTGAATGTATCTCAACTAATATTAAACAACAGAATTTAAGATTTTATCACATTTTACCCTTAAATCTCACTCTTAGATTAGTTATAATTACAACAATGTCATTGAATACCTTCTCCCCACTAATTTGTATGGAAATTTGGATTTGGGTTATACTTACCCTCCACTTGAGTAGCTATGAAAAAATAAGCAGTTAAAAGTAAACTAAAGTTAAATGTAAATTGTTTAAGCAAAATAATCATCGATAGAAATATTTGGAGACTTATGAGGAAGTTTATGTCCAGCAGAAACTGATATATAAATAAAATGATACTTACCAAATTATTTAAATTGTTTAGTTACATACAAACTGATTTGTATGCAGATCTGATACACGCAAAAAAAAGACAAAATCATACAATATTTTATAGACTTACCTTGTCTTATCCATTTATTTAAATCTACATATCAAGAAGAAAAACAGCAAATATCTCCATGTATTATTTTATTATTTATTTCTTTCGTTAAACATTGGATCACTATTTAAATTAATATCTATATCAATAAATAATTTACATATGTCTATAGCAGTTCTGGTCTAATTCTTTCTATTCTTTGTTCCAACTTTTAAGTGGCCGTGGAATTTCATCACTACATATCGTTTGTATATTCATATGCGGCATACTTAATCTAGCACCCAGCGACTTTGATTCATCAAACAACATCCAGCTTTTGTCACTAAAAAAAAGCGATATTAATTTTTGGGAACACGAGGGACCATAGATATTCATTTGTGTATACTTGATATCTGAAGAGATACAATACATACTCTTTTCTATATACTGGCCAGCGAAATTAACTGGAACTAAGTTTGTTTAACAGGAACTGGAAACAGAACGTTTCTATAATATTCCATATCGCAATTTGCATGAGCACGAGAGAATTTCAAGCGGTATCTTTGATAAGCTGCCACCAATAAAAGGTCTGTAGCAAAGATATAAGACCTATGGTATCAGGTGAAACTATGGTATACTGCAGTAGTCAGAGACGAAATGGCCACTGAACCTCTAAAAATCATACAAACAAGCTAAATTTTGCAGAATATTAATTTTCATCATCAGTTGGCGCTACAGCCCTTCGTGAGCCTTGGCCTGCTTCAAAACATTCTTCCATCCTTCCCTATCGAGTGTCTGTCTTCTCCAGCCCCTCACTCCAATCTCCCTCAGATCTTTCTGTACATCGTCCAGATATCTGAGTTTAGGTCGCCTTCTTCTTCTTCTTCCGACCGGCCTATTTAGCATAGTTATTTTAGTGGGATCACTCTCATCCATCCGCATAACGTGGCCCACCCACCTTAGGCGGTTTATCTTCATGGTCTTCACAATATCTGCATCACCAAAAAGTCTATAGAGTTCAAAGTTATATCGCCTTCTCCACAGACCCTGTTCGTTTACTCCGCCAAATATGGTTCTCAATACTTTTCTTTCAAAGACTCGTAGTAACTCTTCATCTCGGGTCGTCATTGTCCATGTTTCCGATCCGTATGTGAGGGCGTATTATTGTTTTATAAAGTTTGCACTTTGTTGCTATTGACATACTTCTCGCTCTTAGTTGAGGGCCCAGGCCGAAATAACAGTGGTTAGCCACGCATATTCTTTTTTTTATCTCGTTGGATGTGTTATTTTTGTAGTCTACCAGTGATCCTAAGTAGCAGAATTCTTCTACCATTTCTATCGTTTCGTGTTGCACCTCTAAGTTATTTTGTTGAATTCTTGATATGGCCGGCATATATTTAGTTTTCTGGATGTTAATCAGAAGTCCGATGTTTTCTGCGGCATTTTTGATACGTGTGAAAGCCTCCACTGCTTCATTTTGGGTTCTTCCAATTTTGACGATATCATCAGCGTATGGCATTATTTGTATACTACGGGTATATATCGTACCTTTTAAGTTTATTCCCGAATCTCTCATAACTTTTTCTAACGCTAGGTTGAACAGCGTGCACGATAGCGCATTTCCCTGGCGTAGTCCTCTGTTGGTTTTAAATGATTTTGAAACATCCCCTTGTACACGCACTTTACATTCGACTTTCATCATTGTCATTTTAATTAATTCTACCAAACCTTTTGGTATTCTTAATTCGATCATCGCCGAATATAATTGGGACCTGTCAATAGTATCGTACGCTGCCTTAAAGTCTAGGAAGATGTAATGGCAGTCTATGTCGTACTCCGTCGTTTTTTCTAATATTTGTCTGATAGATGATATGTGATCAATGGCAAATTTGTTTTTCAAGAAGCCTCTTTGATAGGATCCTATTATATTATCAGTACACCGTGCCAGTCGTTCGTTAAGTATCAGGGACACAATTTTGTATGCTGTATTAAGAAGGGAAATCCCTCTAAAGTTGGAGCATTTAATAACGTTTCCTTTTTTGTGTATGGGGCATATAATTCCAGTATTCCAATCTTCTGGTAACGCGCGTTCTTGCCATACCTGTATTAGTAGTTTGTGAAGGAGGGTTACAAATGTTTGACTGCCACATTTAAATATTTCTGCTGGTAGGTGGTCTGCTCCGGGTGATTTGTTTCTGGTTAGAGACTGAATTGCTTTGTTTATTTCTTCCAAAGTTGGTAGTTCAGTATCCTCGTATTTTATTTCATTTCTATATCATATCTACCTTCAGCTCTACTTTCTCCATTAAGTAGCGTACTAAAATGTTCCTGCCATCTTTCTAGTACTTGCACTCTCTCGTTTAAAAGAATTCCGTTAAGGGCCTTGACTTGGTTCGCTTGTGGTTTGAAAATTTTTCTTTTTGTGTTAACCTGTTTGTTAACTAAATATTAATTTTGGGACCTCAAAAAAGATACAAATAAGTTTACCATTTATACCCCCAGACTTCCACCTAAAACCCCCCGTAGGGGGTAAAAACGCAAAAAAAAACGATTTACCAAGAATCTGTACACCATAGAAAAAAATGTTTCAAATAAAAAATGAGTGGACAGTTACTGCTACCAGTAACTCTTCACTCTTGAAGCACTTGAAGCCTTTGAAACCGACTTTCTACAGCATGTGTTGCCCTTGGTCTTCTCTGTCTAAGTCTTCTTGAGTAAGTACTAATTTCCAGAAATCTTAAACAGCAACGGATATTGTATTTCGCAGAACGCCATACATTTTTTCAATATATCGAATGAAACACCTATTATTAAGCAGAGCAACAGCTTACGCTACTTAATCTGGCCTTATTGTAAATTATTCTTCGTTATTAAAAATGCTTTCCTCTCCTGAAGAAGCAGCCAATAATATACCAAAAAGAAATACAATCAATTTAACAAGTATTATTATAAGTTTTATCGAGAAGAGGTGAACAAAAACTTTTTTTTTCCAACAAAAAAAGACAAACTTTTAAATAGAGAATGGCTAAAGACAACTTACCTATATATTTAATTATTATACGTGGTAATTCAACCAAAACGAAAAAAAAGGAAACTTTGGAATTACGCGTTCCGGTTAATTTTGCAGGGCAGTGTATATTCATCCAAAAATAGACTATTTTTGTACTTGTGTTTTGTTTTTGTAATTATTAGTGTAATTTCACTATTACACTGCTGTATTAAACTGTCAATAAAAAAAATGTATTATAAATTACAATAATAACTTACTTATTTTCACTGGGAGCAACATCTAGTTCGACCAATCTCAACATATCGGACCCTTCTTCAATAATATCTCCATCTCCTTCACGCTGTAAAACTGTATTAATAATAGCAGAATTTCCAGATACGCTAGCGTGAGACTTAACTGAGGATATTTTAATCAGTTTGTTATCATTTTTGTTAACCAAGCGTGACTTGAAATCTAACTTATCGCTGATATCACTTGGACCTATTTTTTGAACATATCCTGTAGAATAGATTTTAATTGGACGATCTTCTTGTCCTAAGCTATTTTCTTTGTCGTACTTGTTTTTATAAAAGTACCCTGAAATATCATCATCGTAAGAACTCTGCACAGGCCTCTTGGTAATAAATATTTGATTAAACAAGTGCTGGTTTGTACTGGGCCTATAGACGTTAGGTTTATATGAAGTAGCAAAAGGACTGTCTTCAAATATAACTTCGTCGTAGTCCAATGAACTGCTGGGTTTATTATAGGACGTACTAGGTCTATCATGAGAACTAACTGGATTGTTAAACGAGCTACTTGGTCTGTCATATCCACTTGGTCGATCGTAAAAACTGTTGATTCCATCGTAAATGTAGTTTGGTCTGGTACTGACCGAACTTGAATCATATGCCGGTCTGTAGCTAACTGAGGTATACGAATCTGATGAAGGTCTATAACTGGCAGAGCTGTAAGAATCAGCTGAAGGTCTACTAAACATCTGAGAAGGTCTGTAGTTGTCTGAACCATATTCGTTAACATCACTAGCACCAGTTATAGTAAAAGTGGGTCTGCTAACGGTAAATGTTGGTTTATTGCTAGGAGGTTTATTGTAAGTTTGAACCGAAGGCGATTGGATGAAGACTGGATATGACACTGGTTTTTCTTGTATGTAGGTGGAAGAAGGTCTATCTAAATAAGTAAAAAATATGTTTAAGTACACGTATATTCTGTGTCAGGTAAATTTTTTTAAATCAAGTTATTACTTTATCTATTAATACCAGGAAGATAGTATTTATAACAAATAAGTATTTAAAACAAATATTTATTTTAAATTGTTTAATCAATTTTTGTTGATTAGCAAGGAAAATATTGCAACTTTTATAGATTTTAAGATATAAATTCAAATTTTGAAATAGTAAAATCGAAAGAGTGCAAATCGCTTCGCTTTTAAATCCTTTATTTTTGGGGCATAACTGTGCAATTTTTTTTGTCAAAATTCGAACTTATATCTTGAAATGTATTCTCCACGTTATAAAAGGTGAATATGTAAAAACTTCACCGTTTTGATGTTTTTGTTGTTTAGATATGATTAATTATTTTGTGTAATGTTTTAAGAATTTAGAGTAATGGTAAATACATTCATATTAATAAATATAACAATAAAGAATAATATAAAAATACAGGGTGAGTCATGAGGAACTTTACATACTTCTACCATATGTAGAGTCCCTCAGGGAGCATATCATGTGGCCACTAAAAAATGTCAACTCCTCCTCTTTATTAATTAACAGGGTGATTTGTGTAATTGACCATTTATTTCATTTTACTGTAGTGTTTATACGGCTCATTTGATTTTTTTTAATTTTTGCATGACACAGTACACTAATATCAAGCATTCGACTGGTATTAGCTAAACTAAAAAATTCCAGGACTGGCTTTAGAAAAATTAATTGAGGGATTCGTATTAAATATTACACCCTGTATATATTTTTTTAAAATGCAATAAGTGATTTTCAAATTACATAAATAGCCAATGAAAACGACATATGCGACAATGTTGTCGCACTTTTATTAAATTTTTAGTGAACGATCAAATCTTACCAAAAATAGAACAACCATAATGAAGTATCAAATTATAAGGTATTAATTTAAACAAATGTTATAAATTTCAAACATTTTAATTAAAATGAGTTCCTACAACATAATCTAATACGTAGAAAATTAACATCTTTACTGTCACTTTGTATTATCTCTACGATAGAATCAATTGTTTTTCAATTTTAAATTTTTACTCATAGATCGTATTGTGACATTATTTTCGATAAATAATAAATTAAACTGATTAAAAAATCAAACCTCTTGTATGTGTTAGTTTTTGTTGATTGTAAATGATTAAAATTTTATGTCAAATAACAATACATTGCATCAACTGTACTAAATAAAAATAAATCTAAAAAAGTTTAAAATGAAGGTTGGCGTTGACCGTTTGACGTTTCTTGATATTTTATACTCATTGTCATTATTGTTATTATCAATTGTTATTTATGTGTACAAGAATACATATTTCTTCTGTCATATCTACGTTAAGTACATTGTGTTAGTTTTGGTAGACCTTTTGTTACTTTCGTTCAAAATGCCACATCAGTTTTTGACCACAGAATATGCAGACATAATATTTGTTTATGTATTCTGTAATGAGAATGGTAGGGCTGCTAGTAGAGAATATCGCAGGAAATTTCCTAATCGTCGAACTCCCAGTCATCCAACATTTGGGTCAGTTTATAATTATTTGCGAGAAAATGGCACTTTTCCTAGTGGAACAACAGAGCGACATGTAGATGAAGCTCAGGAAGATGACATTATGGACGTCGTTACTATGAACCCTACAATAAGCACTAGACAAGTAAGTCGAGAACTCAATGTTACTCAATCAAAAGTAAGTAGAGTCTTACAAAAAAATAATCTATACCCATATCACATTCAAATGGTTCAGCGACTACATACTGGAGATGAGATCGATAGGTTGGAATTTTGTAGATGGATTAACAATAATCGACCAACGCTATACAGGACACCATTTACAGATGAAGCCCAATTTACCAGAGACGGGATAAATAATTTACGAAATTCACATGTGTGGGCAGAAGAAAATCCCCATGCTATTCGAGAACGTCGTTCTCAGTTAAGGTTTTCGGTTAACGTGTGGATTGGTGTCATAAATAACCAATTAGTAGGTCCTCACTTTTTTGATGGTCCTTTAACAGGGCAGGTCTATTTGAACTTTCTACAAAATATTTTGCCGAAATTGCTTGCCAACGCGAACGTTGCTATCCGAGGGATGTATTTTCAGCATGATGGGGCACCCCCACACTTTTTACTGGCAGTGAGACAACATCTCAATAATGTTTATGGCAACAGGTGTATAGGACGTGCAGGTCCTATTTCGTGGCCTTCAAGATCCCCTGATTTCAATTCCGTTTATTACCATATTTGGGGACGATTAAAGCAACTAGTTTACGCAGTGAATATTAATAACCGACAACAATTAATTGATAGAATTATACATTGTTGTAATACTATTAGAAACGATCCCCAGAGTATCCGTAATTCAATACGTCAATTAACAATTCGGCAACAAAAATGTGTACAGGCTGCAGGGTTTCATTTCGAAAATCTATTTTGAATTATTTTTATTTTGTTACCATTATTGTATCTTTTCCAGTTCTAATTTATGGGTTTATCATAACTATGTACATATTTTTAGTTTTTTTTTAATTGTTCTTCGTTATTGTTAGTAGTTACTGTTTTTTGTTGTGCAGTGACTCAGTTTATCATTTCAATTAAAATGTTTGAAGTTTATAACATTTGTTTAAATTAATTACCTTATAATTTGATACTTCATTATGGTTGTTCTATTTTTGGTAAGATTTGATCGTTCACTAAAAATTTAATAAAAGTGCGACAACATTGTCGCATATGTCGTTTTCATTGGCTATTTATGTAATTTAAAAATCACTTATTGCATTTAAAAAATATATATACAGGGTGTAATATTTAATACGAATCCCTAAATTAATTTTTCCAAAGCCAGTCCTGGAATTTTTTGGTTTAGCTAATACCAGTCGAATGCTTGATAGTAGTGTACTGTATCATGCAAAAATTAAAAAAATCAAATAAGCCGTATAAACACTACAGTAAAATAAAATAAATGGTCAATTACACAAATCACCCTGTTAATTAATAAAGAAGGGGAGTTTACATTTTTTAGTGGCCACATGATATGCTCCCTGAGGGACTCTACATATGGTAGAAGTATGTAAAGTTCCTCATGACTCACCCTGTATAATCTGTGTAACTTACTTAATTGTCCTCTCTTGGTTATTATAACAGAAGATGGTGTTTTTGTAGGATAATACTCTATTTTAATATTGACTTCAATAGGTCTCTCTGTGGTTTTTCTCAGTCTCGAGCTTTCCGGACCTTTAGTATTCTGAATAATAACCGTATGGCTATTAGTCACGGCTGTCTCTGGTTTAGGCTTCGGTTTTTTATATTTCAGTTTCGTTTTCCTTTTCCTTTCCGCCGCTGTTTCCTCCAGATCATCTAAACCTTCTCTTGAAAACGATCTGGTTTCTATATCATTAGAAAGATTTTCAATCCACGGAGATAAATCAAAGTTTTTCAAGATTGGATCTTTGCAAGAGAGTCTCTTGTTTTTATTGGAGTCTGGTGATAGGAATGAAAAAGGCTGAATCGTTTCGATCTCGTCCATGGTTTGACAAAGAATGCTTGATAATGTCGCTCTTCGTATTTGGTGTAATTGAGCTGGAGTGAATGATGATAGAAATTCGCCGTTTTCGTACCAAAATCTAAAAATTGTTATAACTTTTTGATGAATGAACTATATCGACTTAATAATATTAACTATTCTTATTCAGTAAAATAGTAATTTGTACTAAGTTGTCACAAGAAAATAGCTTCAGAATAATATTTTTGTTAAATAACAAAAAAATGATAGTTTTCTCCATATTCAGTAGAATCGCTTAAGGAAGCCAGAGCGCTCTTGTGTCGTTTAGTGGAACTAGTTACTACCTAGAGTTGAGTGCTGAAGTTTTACAGCGTTCAGATTTGTCGATTTTGTTTTACCGAATTTTTTGTATTTCATGGTGTTTCAGTATAGTTTTCTAGTTCCATACGAATGGTTACAGCATTTGTAAAGGTATGTGCAAACCATTTTAATTTATAAATACAAGAAAAGCATTTATTTAGGTGTATAAACCTTTCGGACCATTACTACAAAACATAAACCGACAATGGCCCTTTGTCGGACCATTTTTAGGTTAGGAATTGTAGATATTTACATAAAGTGCAAGTTTACCATACTGTACCACGCCGAATTGCCTATATTGTACCGGTACAATTTTAGATACCATTGGGTATTTAAGACCTACTTATTATCAAAAGTAAATAAATAAATAAATAAATAAATAGATAAATAAATAACATACACCGTTCTTGCGTGTTTTGTAGATCTAACAGCAGCCTATGACACAGTACGGCACAAAATATTGCTCCGCAAATTATACGACACTCTCAGTGACCACCATCTGGGAAAGGACGTATATTCTTTACTGCAAAATAGCACCAATGCTCTTCAATATATACACAAACGACCAACCTACTCCGACCGAAACCAAGCTCAAGGAAATAGTTTTGAAGAAGTGGAGGAGAAACTCGAAACTGCCTTAAAAACAATGACAGCGTACTACCTGCACAATTCTCTGAGACCCAATCCCTCTAAAACCCAAGTCTGCGCTTTCCACCTTCGCATAAAGGAAGCCAAGCGAAAACTCCAAATTGTGTGAAATGGTAATACATTAGAACTCATAAACCAACCTATATATCTTGGAGTAACTCTGGACCGGTTCCTCACCTACAGACAACATTGCATAAAAACGAGAGGGAAAGTAACAACTAGGAACAGCATACTCAGAAAGCTAACGGAAAGTAAATGGGGCGTACGTCCTGGCTTAAGAACAACGCCTATGTTTCTCAACTGCTGAATATGCGTGCCCCGATTGGAGCAGATCTGCCCACAGATTTGTGAAGGATGAACCGCCTGAGTATTTTTCACTTCCCCAGGTTCAATAGACCGGCCAGAATCTAGACTTTAAAACGTGGAAAACTATGAATAGAATCGGAATGGGGGTCGCTGCAGTAAAATCAAACATGGCAAAATGGGGAAAAATAGACCAAGATGATATGAACTGTGACTGTGGAGAAACACAGAATATGAAACATCTGCTTACATGCAGAAACTGTCCTCATCGATGTACCCTTGAAGATTTGTGGCTCGCCAACAAAGATGGAACCGACGTAGCCCGATACTGGGCCGAAATTTTATGAATGACATGTCTGGACACGATAAAGTAAAGTAAGTGCGTGTTTTAGATGCCCAAAAGGAAAATATGGGACTTGGAATGTGGACGACACAAGGCGGGTTTTTAAAAAAATTCGTAATGGAGACATGGGATTAAATGAATGCTGAAGGCAGTATGGAGTCCTTAAGTCTACCTTGATCTGTCACCTTAAGGGGACCACTGTCATGGCAAATGAAGAACCGAAGGCTTTTGGCCTAAGCAGTGTGTTACCAACACGATCAATGATGTTCGACGGCTTGCATTTTAATAAATCGTTGAGAGAAATCAAATACCACATAATTTTAATAAAAAATCTCAAATGGCAGGAAAGAAGTGGTTTTATGCTTTCGAAGGTCGTCATAAAGACATAATCTCAATGAGAGAACCTCAAGCATGTCCATAATGCTCGCAAAAAGATTCAGTAAAAGGAATGTTGGAATTCGACTTTCTGGAAAAAATTGTTGATGGGAATAATATTATTGCAACTCGCAAATTTAATGTTGACGAAACGGGTGTCAGTACTGTATAGAGCAAATGCCAAAAGGTTCTCGCACAAAAAGGTAAAAGGCGAGTTAGATCAGTGTTCAGTCGAGAACGTGGAGTCAAAACGACAGTTGTTTGCTGTGCGAGTGCTACAGGAATTTACGTTACACATATGCTTATATTTAAGCGTATGTGGATGAACAATAATTTCAGTGTTGGTGCTCCACCAGGAGTTCATATATCAGAATGGTTGAGATATTAGAATCAGGCTACATGACTAGTGATCTCTTTGTAAAATGGCTCCAGCATTTTATTGATTCTGTAAACCCAATAGTAGAAAAGTTATTTTGGTACTGGATGGGCATACAACGCACGGATGAGCACGGTGTGATAATGCTACAATTTCCTGAGCATACGACCCATAGCATGTAGCTTTTGGATAGATCATTCTCCTTCAGGCTTTCAAACTTCGGATTATGTGTTACACAACTTCACGTAGTTGGCTTGATTTCTAAAGCTTATGGGAGAGTAGCAAATGTTTCATTTCAACAGCGAGTTTTATGAGATTCATTAGTTTAACAATGGTTTCCGAACTAATCTTCAAAGATCAGGACTTTTGTGCGGCTGAAAATTTAAATGATCCTGAAGGCAGCGAAACTCGGAAAGATGGTGAACATGAATAGTCTAACGAGACAAACAAGGAACCACTTAGGTCTACAATAGCAGCTAATGTAGAGTACGAAATAATCTGACCTGAACTACCTAGTGATAAAGAGAGTTTAGCTATGACTACTACACCCACTAGGCCTACTAAAAAACTCGTGAAGCAATTCCAAAACCTAACATTTTAATTGATTCAATTTCCCCGGTACTAAAGCCTCATACAAAATCCAAGAAGGGAACAGCACAAAAGGCTATGACTTTAACGGAAGTCTCTATAAAAATAAATTAGAATTAGCTAAAGAGCTACAGTTAACGCAGGAATAGATAAAACAAATAAAAATGAAATTGGTGAAGGTTAAACCGAAATCGTAAAAGCAGAAATTTCACAAAACAGTGCAGCAAGATTAGAACGAAGGGATATATGTATTCTACATTACATATTATGCAGAATTCCTTCCAAAAAGTCATTGTTAAAATTCAAATATTGTGTTTATATGGGCATAATTCTGTTTCTACCTACCACAACTTACAGAACCTATAGAAATAGACAGCGGAATAAACCAAGGGGCTCAATAAGCCCTATGCTATTCAATTTAACCATGGATGAAATCATCAAAAGCGTTAACAAAGGAAGAGGATACAGAATAGGGAATAAAGAAGTAAAAATACTCTAATATGCATACGACGCAATGTTGAAAGCCCAAGATGAAGATAGTCTGCAAAAAATGATAAATTGACATAAGAAAAAAATAATTTAACATGATTGATTATTTCATCTCAGAAAACTAAAATAATAGTAATCAGCAAAGAACAAACTAGATGTAAAATAGAAATTGATGACATCAGTATTGAACAAGTAATGGAAATAAAATATCTTGGAAATACACTGTCCGGCTATGAAGACCTGGACAAAGAATTGATCGAGTACAAAAAGCAGTCAAAGATGATGCCAAAAATTGTCCCGATACAACCACAACACAAAGGCTACTCCAAACGGTAAAGACGAAAGTATTGTAAATAATTACAGGAAATACGCTGAGAGGTCGAAAGAGAAGTGAAGACATTAGAAGAAAACGTAACGTACAGTGTATAAACGAATGGATCATCATCATCATCAGTAGCTCGACAGCCCTGTCTGGGTCCTGGCTTGTTCTAGGATTTTCCGCCATTCTGTCCTGTTCCTTGCTTTGTTTTTCCAGTTGGTAATCTTACGTGTTTTCAGATCTTGTTCCACTTGTTCCATGTATCTAAGTTTGGGTCTTCCATTTGACCTTCTTCCTGCCGGTGTTTGCCTCATTATATGTTATGGCGTTTCAGTCTCCAACATCCGTTCAACATGGCCCATCCAGCGCAGACGTCCAATCTTTATGGATGGTATGATGTCGGGTTCATTGTATGCTGTGTATAGTTCAAAGTCATATCTTCTACGCCATATGTCATTTTCATTTACCCTCTTGAAAACGAATGGATACTAAATAGAAAAAAAGAGAAACTACATAAGCAGAATGGGGAAGACTCATGTCATCAAAATAGCTAGAGATAAGTAGAATGACAACCTTCCATAGAGGTATTAATCCGCCAATTAATAGGCAGAATTGATTATAAAGATGAGAAAAAAAAGTATTTAGATGTCAAAAAATTATCACTTACCTGTCTCCTTTCCTAAGATTAACAAACTGTTGAGCTATGATACAGGCAAACGTTGGACCTACCACCGCTCCTTTTACAGGTTTTTCCGCTAAACCACCACTGAAGAGATCAATGTCGTCGACATGTCTGTAAACCTTCCGGAATTTTTTTGTTGTTTCCACACTGAAAATCTTTAAAACAAAGTTCAATAATAAAAGCGCAGCAAAGCACCATTTGTGTGTTGGTATTTTAAGGGAATGTTATTTTGTTGAAAGTTTGAAATTAAAATTATTAGACAAATTAAACTTGGTACTTTAAAATTTAAAAATGGTATTGAAGAAAAAGTAAATATATTAGTACATTGTTTGTCGGTTAAATAGGATGTGGCCTGTAATTATTTCTTCCTGCGAATTCCTTCTTAGGAAGGAACCTTCCTGTATGCATGTTTCATTGATTTCTAGAAGGCATTTGATAAAATTCCACATGGGAAATTAATCGATATCCTAAAAACATCAGGACTTGATGGCAAGGATATAAGACTGATCTCAAACTTATATCTCCAACAAAAAGCAACAGTACGATTAGAAAATGAACTGTCCGAGATCTTCATAGTCGAAAAAGGAGTTAGACAGGGTTGTATTGTCACCGGCATGATTTAATATATACTCCGAAAATATCTTTAGAGACGCCTTGGACGAATTAGAAGATGAGATTGGTGTAAATGGTCAACTTATAAGCAATATTAGATACGCAGACTGCAGACGATACATGAAAAAATAGAAAAATAATACATTTGAACTTTGAAAAATATATAGAATTTATTAAGAAAGGTTTGCACTACGGATGCAAAAATATAATAGGTTTATGGGGCAGTATGGGGCTAAACAACTGGCCTATTACAATAATATAACCGCTTATTGGATTGATATAAAGCTTTTTTAAGCTAATAGTATGAAAATTTGAAAGTATAATATAAACAGAAGTCAACAGGGTGTTTATGAGAAAAAAGTTTTCAATAATAAGTGTCTAAAAAAAATAAAAGTAAATGGAAACGAGAGAAAACAATTTAAAGTGGATATGGCACATTTAATTTTATAATTTCAATTATTATACGAATTATTGAGCTTAAAGTTCCCGGACAGGTTAAATAAAAGTGCCAAAATATACTAGGCGAGACTTTGCTGTAACAGATAATAAATACAGTTAAAAATGAGAACATGGGTAAAACATAAATGTAATATCAAGAACATTAACAATGATAATAGTCTATTAAAAATACAACAGCAAGATCTTTTTTGGTTACTAACCTTTTTTAAATCATTCCAACCTTTAATAGGTGTGAGTCCGCAAGGCTCCCTCCAAGATGTGTAAGGTGGTATACCATGATCCCTTCCTCTTTGGATATTAATAGCTGCCAAATCCATACCAAACTGCATATCAGTAGGTTGAAACAAATGATTAGATAACTCATCACAAATAAATTCATCCCGTCGTTGTGCTGGCTGGTTACAAAACCCCAAAATCGTTCTATCTACAGAACCAAAGCTCCAAATGTTCTCAAAATTCGTGAATTCTTCATGAAGTGAGACATCTACAATGTATATTATTACTTAAAATTACCCTTATATATGCTAGATTACTTACTGTTAAAGATGGGTCGATGTTGTCTGTCAGTTCTGATGAAAGAATTCTGCACCATACTGTGTCCAAACCTATAGGCTGCAGTACTAAACGCATTTGCTATCATTGGATTAATTTTAGTGTCATAACCTTTATAAAATCCTTTGAAGCCGAGTTCTAACTCAAATAAACGCAAAACTTCTGGACCTAAGAGTATAGGCAGGAATTCATTGTAAGTGATGTGTTGGATAAGAGAATAAATAATTTTTCTAGTTTCTTGGTAAGTCTAAAAATACAAATTTTTAAAGTTTATCTGTAATATGTATGAAGATATATAGAGATCAAAGTATTTATAAAAGTGACAATTAAGAGCAAGACTATTAAACAAGTATAAAACCACAGTTATCTTGGCACAATCTTTTTATTACATCAACAAGCTGAGGGTACTTTGTACTACAATCTGGTCAAGTAAATCACTGAGCAGTTCTATTCTAACCTTAATTATTACTGTTGTCATTTTAAGAACTATATTTTGAGCCCTGCAGTTTTCTTGCAGCTTCTTCATGGTCTTCTCCAGCTGATGGGATAGTTTAATCGTCAGTATACGTATCATATCTTCTTCAAGGAATATTGTTAGGGTATAATAAGAAGAGTAGTGTTCCCAGTAGACTACTTTGCGGTAACCCCGCTTTGATTGCATTCAGGCCAGAATCCTTCTCCTGCTTGATTTTAAAGACTCTGTTTAAAATGTAACATTCCAATACTCTTTTTAAATTGTGAATGAGGCCCTTAAGCCATACTCTATCGAATGACTTTCCCTGAAACCTGAAACCAAACTGATGACGTGGTATAAGATTCTTTCTTCTATTATTGGTTTTAATCTTTTTAGCGATAGCTTTTTAAATAATTTCGATATTATAGGCAAGGCATAGGTCTGTATAATGAAACTTTATTTTTTGGTTTACCTGGCTTTGTTATCATTTTGACTCAAGTCTGAATGATGCATTTAATATAAGTAATTTTCACTACGGTTTCTTTTTAAAGCTATTTTAATATTTCTTCTGCTATTAGATGGAATTCAGACGCATTTCTATGATTATTGTAATCCTTTCCAGTTTCTTCTATCAATTCGAATGAAAGCCATTTACTCCTCATGAAAATTGGCCATCAATAAAGTACATTTTTCATTAAGTTTGAAAATTATCTTTATTATAACTGTTGCAGGAGATTAGAGGACACACTAGATGGAATAAAAATAGGTGGATAGGGAAAATAATAATATCAAATGTGCTGATGTTAGATCACACACTTAAACATTTGATAAATGAAGTGAGCCATTCTGAGTTGAGAACCATTCTGAGGACCATTTTAATATTGCATTAAGATCATGTTGAATAACATGGTCAATAGGATATAATGAGCGGAAGATCACTAGTGTAGATACAAAAAAGTAGCGGTCCAAGTACTGATATTTGTGGGACTCCACTCTTAACTGGCTTATCTAGTGAGTTTTCTTCCCCAACACAAACCCAAATATATCTGTCGGATACAAAATCTTGAATCCAAATTTATAACTTTCCGCGGATGCCGAAGTCATCTAGTAATCGACGTTTTGGGATACGGTCAAAAGCTTTGGAGAGGTCTAAGTAGACTACACTGACAGAATGCCGATTATTTAAAGATAATAACCATTTACACAATGAAGTAAGTTTGTGATCGTTGAACGGCCTTTGTTAAAGCCATTCTGTTGGTGAGGGATGACATTTTCTTGAAGAAGAAACTCAGACATAGCTTCCGAAATAATCAATTCTATGACCTTACCGACAATGAGAACCAGGCTAATTGGGCGATAATTATTGCAATCAAGTTTATTTCTTTTCTTGAATGTAGAAGTAACCGAAGCAAATGTAAAGGACAAGGGGAGAGAAAATTGATTAAAAGTGTAACGATATATTTTGCCTACCACAGGGGCCATTAATACAAGGGGGTAGAAAATTGGCGGAAGAAACTAAAGGGGTTGAGATAAGGCAAGCAAAATATACGTTACTTGTGCGAACGGACACTCAGGGTTTCGTAGGAGAGCTGGGGTCGTGGATAAGTAAAAGATAAGGGCATTGGAATGGGGCAACTACAACAAAAAGAAATAAAGGGCTTTTGGGATAAACAGAATAAAAATAAACAAGAAAACACCTCAAGAAATTTGATTATAGGGCGCCACTTGAGGTGCCTAATTATGCCTATTACAACCACTAGTTGTAACTAGGGAAATAATTAGAAAACAAATCAAAACATATCTTTTTCAAATAAACTCAAAAAGGGTTAGCTTAAAAAAAATAAATAAAAAGTTAAGAAAATAAAATTTAACCTTTAATTATGTGTACCACAAACAGTTGCAAATACAAATAATACTAACAAAATACAAAAAAAAAAAACGACTTACAATGGCGCTTTCGGTTTACAACTCTGGGCGTTGGGGACCCTATTTGCGCGACATTTTGTAGCGGTAACTATTTAAATATTTATTATCATATTTTTAAATGGAGCTTACTTACTGAGGTTAACCTTTTTATTTTTACTTTAAAAAATGTTTACAAAAAAAAAAAGAGTACCTGATATCACTGAATATTATATCTCCTTAAAAGTTTTGGGGCTGGAACTTTACTCAAAAACACTGCAAAACAAACAAATGCTTCTCACAAGCTGCAAAATGGTCTGGAATGACCAGGGACAACAAATATACGATGAAAGCTGGGCACTGGACCATCGGACTTCGGGTTAATTAAACTGCAATCTTCAAAGCTTGGCTTTTCAAAACACAAAGCTCTTCAAAACACAGCACGACCCAAATCGGTGATTAACTCAGACAAAAACTGACACATTACATTTGAGTATAATATTCACTTCTCCACATATAAATTTGCCGGTTCCTTGAAGAATACCACCCAAGCACTTTTCCGTCAATATCATAAACCAACCTCAAATTGTAACTACACATGCTACCAAACTTCAATACTTCTGATGAAAAAAACTAATAACAAAAAAAAACATTACGAATTTGATGAAAATTCGGACTAAACAAACGAAACCAACTGCCCTTGACAGCGGCTCCACCGATAGTGACGAAATTAAAAATTTGTTCGCTTAACTTGAAAATCAACGAACTGCTGAAATAGCAAAACTAACGAACGACGTAGATATCCTTTGAAACGCATTTACATGAAAAGAAATCGCCGCAGTAAAATAAACAACAATTAAATGGATTTATTACTCTACGACGTTAGAATGATTGAAAACACTTTTCGAAAGATACGAACTAAAAAACAGAAAACATTCTTCGTTTTATTAAGACGATTTCATATACGAGGCGACTTTAAATATACTTCAAAGAATCAATCAAATTTAAAATGCTACAATACCCCCACGTAAGAGCGAAAACTGGACTAACAGGAAAAGTTTTCGTTTAGGGCGAACAACAATCAGGTTGGAACAACAGTAGCATTTTCTAACTACTGCAACAACACATAATGACTTCAATAACTCAAACAGAACAAAAAACAACAAACAAAAATCATAACCAAAACTACTCATCATAACTGTTTATGGTTCTAACATAACAACATGCAAAATAAAACTGGATGCTCGATTTGACGAATCGGCACCAGATACAGTTCGTTGGCTCTTAAGCACAACGACACAATGGCAGATTTCTACTAAAATGGCTCTTGCCTAACCAAAAACGTGGAACAGACCAGTGTTGAAGTTTCTGGAAGCGAAAAGAAAGGTGTTTCCAGCTCAACAAAGGCGGGTGGCCAACAACACAGCTTAGACAAGCTTCGCTATGGTTATCCACATAATAGATAACCAAAACAATATCAAAAAATAACAAACTTGACTATAACAGTCAAGCAATGAATTTTCAACCACTGGTTGAAAATTAAACCAACACAAAAGAAGAAAACAGGATGGCCAATAGTTCCATAGAAATATCCTCTGGGATCGACACAGCGAAAAATTTCCAAGTCAGGAAACTCCAAAAGGACAAAAGAAGAAAATAAATCCAAAATGCTAATACACAATCTTGGAAAAGAAGAAAGAACAGGGGCACATGGCATACAAGCCATAATCAATACACAATCAGTTCAGTCTCAAACTAAATACTTCCTGAAGAAACAAAAAAAACTCGTAACAGTCTTCCAAAGAAAACAAAAAAGTTACGACAACACTTCAAAAGAAACAAAAACATCATTACAGATCTCCAAGGGAACATAAGAAACACTATAATCTTCCAAAAGAACAAAAAAATCATTACAGTCCGTCAACAACAATAAAACTTCCAACTGGGTACACAAATCTCAAAAGCAGGGCAAGAAGGGTAAAGAAGAAGAAGAAGAAGAGTATATATATATATACACAAGGCAAAAACTAATGCTTATCTTCCTTAAAAGCTCAACAGGTCACCTGGCGGACGAATCCAAAACTCATCGACCTAGCCGTTCCTCTTATGACAACTAATAAGGTCAAAGACACAGTTTGGGAAGGGAATAAAGGGACAACACAAAAAAATAGACTTCATCATTTCACGGATAATAATCAAATACAACATCGTCATACAAATCAGAAAGAAACGTTCACTATTCTTCAACAAAACTCGAACATGGTCACAACATTATGAGTCTGGGGAATTCTTAGTGGGTCATTCAACGGTAGTACTAGAAAAACTTCAGATGTTTCTCTTACATGGTCTCACAATCGACATAAACAAAATTTTCACAATAAACGGCGGCAGGTACTTTCACCTCAGCAAATCAAAACGTCACAATGGACAATGCCAGTAATTGTACCTCCGCTTCCACCAAATCATCAACACTACATCACAAACACTACAACAAGAAGGAATGCTATTGAGACTAGGTCAATAGTCTTACTTCAACACTTAGAAAGGCTTATCCTTTCTAATAATTCACGGAAAGGGGATGCTGCTACGCAGTCTTACACAACAAAAGAAATATCCAAGGAAACACAAATCCAGGTCACATGCCTGTACGTCCTATATGATATTTCAACAACACAATACTCAAATCACCAACTAATACATTTTAGACCATCAACATAACTCCACTACATCTGACCACACAAAGAAACAAAACTAAAAGACATAAGAAAACATCACAATACTTTCGCTATGTATTCTCAACAAATCGGCCTTAGCCAGGAATACACGAAGTCGTATCATCACTCTCTTCTACTTGTACACAAAAAAAGAACTAGGGAGAAACACAAGACTAACAGACAAAAGAAAAATAATAATACTCCGCTTTGTCACTAACAAATCGGCCTTAGCCAAGGACAAACGGAATCGTATCATCATTTCCTCCTACTTATAACACAGAATAGGAACAAAGAAAACTCGAGGAAACACGGAAATAACAAACATAATGCAAATAACAATACTTCGCTTTGTCACTAACAAATCGGCCTTAGCCATGGACAAACGAAATCGTATTATTACTTCCTCCTACTCATAAAACAAAAAACAACACGAAAACACACGGACTGTAAAATCAGAAACATTTTCTTTTTCGGGGCTAAAAAAATTTCACACATTGCCTGGACTATGAAACTTTAAAGATACGAAAAAATGTTACCTATATTTTTCGTACAAAACTGGGTCATTCAGATCAGCTGGTTTAGAAAGCAACTGTACACTTAAAGACGAAATAGATAACTTATAAACACTTAAAGAAAGGACAGCGTCTACATACGAAATAAATTATTTCGTTAACGTAAACAAAATTCTTTTCTCAGACATGGGATGATTACTTCAAGACGAACAAGAATAAACAAACTTGATATCGTTCACATTTTAATTACCGGCAAATAAGGACTGACATCATTCCAAATACGTATTTTTTAATTCACAAGGAAATAGACGAAAATTATTTCTACATAATTTTACGAAAACTGTACATAGAAGAAAATGGAAATCGTAGCAGTTAACTTGGGACAGGAATAGACTTGATTTAACGGAAAACTGGATAAAACAAATCACAATATAACTGAAAATACCGTTCGAAGTAAACTCAACGAACTTCATATACAGGGTGGGACAAAAATACTAAAACAATGTTTGGGTGAAAGCAAATACACAATGTAAATACTAATAATATTGACAACTTGACTTTTGAGTGAGCTACACAAAATAACACAACATAAAACACCTTGCTCTTGTTCTGAAAACTAAATGAGACTGCTCCTAGGCAAAACTAAACAGCACCTCCGATCACGAGTATTACACTTGTCATCATTCAGATACAAGACAGGAAACATAAAAAGGAACTCAGGGGAACACAATCTCCTAATAACCCGTGGCATTACATACGCCGTCAAAGCTGGTTAATTAGGGAACAACAGGGGACACAGGGGACTACTCTTCACATTCACAATCTCCTACTAGCCCGTGGCATAACACAAACGCCGTCAAAGAGGGCCTAGAGGAAACAATGAAATGGCTTAGGACAAAGGACAAACAACAAAACACAACTATACTCATCAGCTCAAAAAAAAGTCACTCAAACAATAAACACATTTACTCAAAATGACCAGACAAAACAAAATTACAAAAACCGATTTTTCTGTAAGAAATGTCAAATCAATCAAAAATAAATGGCACAATAACGGTATACTTAATTTGTTACTGTAAATAACTTAAAATTCTTTTCAACATCAAAACATTATTTAAAATTCAATTTAAATATTCAAACTCAAAATATTTGCTTTCATTTACCAATACACATAAAATACATATAGAAAAATTTCTACAGTACACGAAATAAACGAAACAACATTACATATGTCAATATACAACAAATACATCTGTTGATATACAATAAATTATACATATGTTAATACAAGAACAATACATAGAAAAAAAAACAACAATACATATGTTGATACAATTACATAAACAAACTGTTTGTGGGACACCGGGGCACTACTCGAAAGACAGGGTTTCATAAAAATGGCAGAAAACTAGGGACGAACTGAAAAAGATATGTGGCTTCTGGAAAAGGGACAAAGATCTAAAAAAATAGGAATATTCAACAGCCCCTCGGTTGGGCACCATTTTTGTAACGATAATATACAAAAATGGCGAAAATCTAATACAGGCCACACACGTTGGGCGACATTTTTGTAACGACAAGTAAAAATGTCGCAAATCTAAGAAATGCCACACACGTTGGGCGCTATTTTTGTAACGATATATTTTGCCTACCACAGGGGCCATTAATACAAGGGGGTAGAAAATTGGCGGAAGAAACTAAAGGGGTTGAGATAAGGCAAGCAAAATATACGTTACTTGTGCGAACGGACACTCAGGGTTTCGTAGGAGAGCTGGGGTCGTGGATAAGTAAAAGATAAGGGCATTGGAATGGGGCAACTACAACAAAAAGAAATAAAGGGCTTTTGGGATAAACAGAATAAAAATAAACAAGAAAACACCTCAAGAAATTTGATTATAGGGCGCCACTTGAGGTGCCTAATTATGCCTATTACAACCACTAGTTGTAACTAGGGAAATAATTAGAAAACAAATCAAAACATATCTTTTTCAAATAAACTCAAAAAGGGTTAGCTTAAAAAAAATAAATAAAAAGTTAAGAAAATAAAATTTAACCTTTAATTATGTGTACCACAAACAGTTGCAAATACAAATAATACTAACAAAATACAAAAAAAAAACGACTTACAATGGCGCTTTCGGTTTACAACTCTGGGCGTTGGGGACCCTATTTGCGCGACATTTTGTAGCGGTAACTATTTAAATATTTATTATCATATTTTTAAATGGAGCTTACTTACTGAGGTTAACCTTTTTATTTTTACTTTAAAAAATGTTTACAAAAAAAAAAGAGTACCTGATATCACTGAATATTATATCTCCTTAAAAGTTTTGGGGCTGGAACTTTACTCAAAAACACTGCAAAACAAACAAATGCTTCTCACAAGCTGCAAAATGGTCTGGAATGACCAGGGACAACAAATATACGATGAAAGCTGGGCACTGGACCATCGGACTTCGGGTTAATTAAACTGCAATCTTCAAAGCTTGGCTTTTCAAAACACAAAGCTCTTCAAAACACAGCACGACCCAAATCGGTGATTAACTCAGACAAAAACTGACACATTACATTTGAGTATAATATTCACTTCTCCACATATAAATTTGCCGGTTCCTTGAAGAATACCACCCAAGCACTTTTCCGTCAATATCATAAACCAACCTCAAATTGTAACTACACATGCTACCAAACTTCAATACTTCTGATGAAAAAAACTAATAACAAAAAAAAACATTACGAATTTGATGAAAATTCGGACTAAACAAACGAAACCAACTGCCCTTGACAGCGGCTCCACCGATAGTGACGAAATTAAAAATTTGTTCGCTTAACTTGAAAATCAACGAACTGCTGAAATAGCAAAACTAACGAACGACGTAGATATCCTTTGAAACGCATTTACATGAAAAGAAATCGCCGCAGTAAAATAAACAACAATTAAATGGATTTATTACTCTACGACGTTAGAATGATTGAAAACACTTTTCGAAAGATACGAACTAAAAAACAGAAAACATTCTTCGTTTTATTAAGACGATTTCATATACGAGGCGACTTTAAATATACTTCAAAGAATCAATCAAATTTAAAATGCTACAAAAGAAGCATTCATTATGAGAGATATAGGGATAGCTACAGATTTTGCACATTGTTTGAGGAAAAAGGAGATGAGTCCGTCTAATCCAGGTGATGAATTATTGCGTAGTTTCCATAAAGGATGTTTAATTGTACTCGATGTTAAAGATATATTATCAAGAGTTTTAGACAAACGTGGGCACATTATTTAAGGAATGGTATAGTTATGTTCATCTGTAAAAACCTGAGAAAAGAATAACAATAAACATTCCGAAGGTTCGTTAATCGAAGAACATAAAGACCCGTCAGCTTTTTGAAGTAATCGTATGAAGACTTTAGAAGATAAAGATGTACGAATGTACCGATAAACTTTTTTACTATTACCTCTTGCAATGATAGATTCTTCAAATTATGTTCTTAACTTTGGCAACGATTGTTTTACTCGATAAGAAAAATTACGGTCGGCGAGAAAATCATCAAGGGAATCAGTAAGTTTTTTATATGTTTGCCAAAGCTTTCGCTTATGTCGAATTAAATGGGTAGCTGACAGGTTAATCCAAGGTTTTAGTCGATTTCTGTATAGCTGCCGTTCGGTTGTATGATCAGAAATTATTGTAATAGCAGTATGAAGAAAAGAGTCGCGATGGATTAGAGTGATTAAACAAAAATAGATTGCTAGTTTAACTGGGATAAAACTGAATTTACATTAAATAATTCAGTAGTGGCATATGTTACGAAATTATTTTTGCAAAGCGATGTTAAACTAAATTGAATGTAAGCAGTAATAAGCGAGTGGTCAGATAGACCCACACGAGAGGACTCTTCAAGTGTAAAAATTAATTGATCTTCATTTGTTAAAAATAAGTTTAAAGTTGAATGATTATTGTTGGCTCTAAACCTTGTAACTTCAGTTATCAGTTGTAATAAAGTTGAGTTCATGATAGTTTTTAAACAAATTTTGGGAATTGATATTATCAGTTTTGTAAATAATGGGCCAACAAATCTCTGGAAAATTTAAATCTCTAACAACAATAAGATATTCAAGGGATGATAATTCCCCAAGTTCAACGAGCATATTGTTCTGAGTACTCTGAGTATCCGGAGGTCGTTATATACAAGCTATATTAAATATGACAGGGTTATTAGTAATAAATCGGTCATTAAATCTAAGTAAAATAATTTTAAAGTATTATGTTTGGTTGATCCTATTTTATAATTGTGAGTCATGCACTCTAAAAGTAACAACGTTAAACAAATTTTCGTTGAGTTTATCCTTTTTATGTTTTTTGATTAGATATTATTTTGGTAAATACGCTATTTGCAGGTCTTATTTTGATACGATATAAATAAATAAATTAAAAAGAAAAAAAACTGTGTTACTTTTTTTACTTATAAATTTAAAATCACGAAAAATGTTAGAGAATCTATGCAAAAAACTATTTACTTTTTCGTCACTCCAATGCGGATTAAGTCTCGATAGCACAGCAGCTACTTGATTATGGTACCGAATCCAAACCGTATGCACAGCAGTAAGTCCAGGTTGTTCTGTAACTCTACCATCTCCTGGCTGAAAGCAATCTGTTGTCAAGGCTCCTGCGTTGCATAACTCACCTCCTGGTGGATCTGGAGGTTGAAGGGGTCTATCACTAAGAGGTCTACCGTAGAAAATTTTACCTGTAGTTAACATGGTATATAATTAACAGATCCTTTCATTAAAGTAATATAACAAAATTTATATAAAATATAGAAAAGTATAAAACTAAGTGAGAATAAAATACACTAATATCCTACCCTGTCTAAAGGTTCTTATCGAGTCAGCTTTCTCCAAATTATTTCCATATATCATGGATGCGTCAATAAACGAAGTTGCTTGATTGATTTGTTCTCTCCATCCCAAATCGCAATTGATTCTTGTCGACGGAGCACTTCTTAAAAATTCCATGCATCCTATCTTAAATTTACTAAGGAACCAATCGTCTTCGGGTACTTCAATAGGAAGACAAGAGGGGTGCTAAAAATATAAATAATAACTTCTGGACTATTTATCGTTTATAGAAAATTTACTTACTAGTAGTGCTTCTGATAAAACCTTCTTTCCCGTTTTTTCACAACAGCGCGGTACTGATCCATTAAAACCTCTGGATTTGACTACTGAGGTAACGTCATGGTCAATAAACTGACCCCACTGCATGAACATTAAAGTGATCACATTCAGTTCCTGGTCCTTGTCTTTGTGTATTTTAGTACTTATTTCTCTAGCTGAAGGAAGTCTTGTACCCAATATAGATCGTCTAACACTCTGAATACCTTTAAAAAGAAAATTTGGTTTTACGCAATCTTCAAGTTTTTCGTAAACTTGTCTGGCAGGTGTGGTGTTTTAATGCCAATATACCCCTTAAAACCGAGATGTCAGATTTTAAAACAAATACAGACTTACCCCAGGTGAGTAGGATGCGTCCAAAATCTCACACTGATTTATCAGCTGTCCCAAGGATTCTAAGGTAGACAAAAAACTGCCTATACGGAAACTAAAAAACCCCATAACTCTTTACGTTAGTGCATACAATATCAGAAGTCTACTATTCGAGAAGAGATTCACAGAAATGGAAACTGAAATGAATCAAATTAAATGGGACGTTATAGGTATCCGTGAAGTTAGAAAGAGAGATGAAACTTTGAAATCACTGAAATCAGGGCATATATTCTATCAGATGGGCCCTGAAACTACATCAGTTGGAGGTATCGGTTTCTTTGTACGTAAAAACCACACGAAACAAGATAATAAACATCCAAAGTATATCATCTAGTGTGGCATATTTTATTCTAAAGCTGAACACTAGATATCAACTCAAAATTATCCCAGTATACGCTGCAACAATAGACCATACAGATGAAGAAATCGAAATGTTTTATGACCATATACATACTGTGCTTAATGACTTTCGTATTGAATTCACAATTTTATGTGGCGATTTCAACGCAAAAATAGGTTTAAAAGAACCAGAGCTAGAAACTTCCTTTAGCCTCCAGAATAATTTATTCAGCATGAACAGCTTCTTTTACAAAAAAATGCACAGAAGATAGACCTAGGAAAGTCGAAACGGTAGAGCAAGGAACGAAATTAACTACATCATGTGTAACAAAACCAAATAATTAAAGATATAATAGTACCCAACAAGTTCACCACAAGCAGTAACCAATATGAAAAAAATGATACGAGCGAAAGTCCAAATCAGCATAAACAGAGAAAGGAACGTAATGATTAAAAATAAATCTCATGGTTTCTGGACACCCCCATTAGATATTAACCAATATCAAGCACATATCAATAATAAGCTTCTACTGCATGAAATCTCCGAGAACGATCTTAATGACTTGAATAATTGCATCATACACGACTTACAAGAAATTCATTGTACTAAAAAAGATCAGACAGTAAAATAAGTCCATATAACGAAACGCTGCTGGATCAAAGAAGACAAGTGAGAAGCGATAAGAATACAGACAGGCATACTCATAAGAGTCATAAAACTATTTCGAAGGCAATCAGCAGAGATTTTAGGAAATTTACAATCGATAATATTAAACGCACTATAGAGGAAAATAGAGGAAACAGCCTAAAAGTTCTACGTAGTAAGCTAACGAATGGAAAATGCAAAATTCATAAATTAAGAAATAAGCAAAATGAAATAATATCAAGTAGAGACGAGTTAATATAGGTAATCGAAGAGTTTTACGAGGAATTATATGGAACCAGGACGAGAAGATCAAACAGAAATACAAACGGCCATTTCAAAGAAGAATAAATATAGGTATAAATAAAGGTTCCCAACTAATGTCAGAAGATAAGGTAGATGAGATTCGACAGGCATTAAGAAAATTAAAAATACCAGAAGACGAGAGAATTGTAATAGAAGCCATCGTATTTGGAGAAGATATGCTATTAAATAAATTAAGGAAACTGTTTAATTTACGTTTGCAGCAAAGAGAGGTGTCCAAACAATGGAACAATGCTATAACCATCCTTTTGCATAAAAAAGGAGATAGAACGGACCTAGAAAATGTAGATCAATTAGACTGTTAAACCACATAATCAAGCTTTTCACTAGGTAAGTGATATCAAGATTGGAGACAAAATTAGATTTCTACCAACTAAAAGAGCAAGCAGGATTTGGTTTAAATTATGGTACCAACGATCACCTTCATACAGTAAAGCCACCCATTGAAAAATCTATAGAATACAACAAACCTCTCGTTCTCACTTTCATAGATTTTCATAAAGCATTCTACATGAACAAACAAGACAGCCTTATAGAAGCAATAAATGGCACATAGGTATAGTGAACTTATTTACAATATTTACAAAAATGTCACTATGACTGTTAAGATACACGATAAAACCTGACCAATAAAAATAAAACGTGGAATAAGGCAAGGAGATACATTGTCAGCGAAATTATTCATAACGGCATTAGAGTATGCCTTTAAGAAGATAAATTGGAACTACAGAGGAGTAACAAAAGACGGCGAAAAGCTTACCCATCTTCGTTTTACAGATGACATTGTCCTTATCATAGATAATTTTGGAGAAGCCACATATATGTTAAATGAATTAAATTTTGCATGTTCGAATGTGGGCCTTAGAATAAAATTGACCAAAACTAAATTTATGACAAATATGATCTCCAATAACCATTTACCTATTCAAGACAAAGAGTGGTAGAACTGATGGAGAAATATACGTATTTGTGTTATGAAATAAGAATCAGCAGGGATAACCAAACATTCAAAATCCAAAGACGAAGGGATAGAGAAGACAGACACTCGACAGGGAAAGACGGAAGAATGTTTTGGCTCACGAAGGGCTGTAGTGCCAACTGATGATAATAGATAAATTAGAAGAACAACAGAACGATATATTAAAATATATTAATAACCGATTAGAAAATAAAATAGAACAAAAACAATGCCGATATTCTTTCTAGGCGACCCTGTTTGGAACAACAATGTCAGTACTGCGAAATACTTGAAAAAAAGAGAAAATTTAACCGAAGCAATCTTGATGATCACAGTTAAACATGAAGAGCATAATGTGTGGACTTCCCTAAAAAAATTTAAAACGAGTCAAAAGAAGGATAATGACTTGATAGTTATAAGAGAATAATAAAAATTAAGTAAGATATATTTGGCAGAAAATAATTAAACATAGTGGAACTATAAACGCCTACCAGGCTCAATGGGAATCACTGTATCTTTCCAATGATTTCCATAATAGGTATCGGAAGTGGGAAAGTCCTGATGGAGTACGTACTGTCAAAATAAACATATTTTTAACCGAAATTGTGGGTAACCTTGAATAGAGATAGTAAATAACATTAAAATGTCACAAGAAAATAGCTTCAGAACAATCGTAAATTGCTCATTGGTCTGATTGATCCAAGATAGGGGTTGCTTAAGAGCATCAACAGGTATTTATTTTAAAACAAATTATTGTTAAGTCAAATATTTAAGTTATTTTTTTTTACAGAATAAAACAAAATTAATATACTTGTTCGGTACTTTGCATAAATTCTACTCCTTCTGGTGTAATTTCTTTAATTTTTCTTCAATCTCTTTAGAAAATTTTCCATGAATATTGAGAAAACTTTTCATCATCATCATTTTGGCTTTACAACCCTGTGTGGGTTCTAGCCTCCCCAAGAATTCTCTTCCAGTCGTCCCTATCCATCGCCTTCCTCCGCCAAGCACGTATTTCCATATTTCTCATATCTTGGTCTATGTTATCTAGGAATATTGTTCTGGGTCTTCCTCTTCTTCTTTGACCAATAGGTCTATCAAGGAGCGTTTTTCTAGCTGGATCAATTTGCTCCATCCGCATTACATGGTCTACCCACCTCAGAGTCCTATCTTAATGTGTTTTACGATATCTGGTTCCTGGTTTATTCTATAGAGTTCGAAGTTGTATCATCTTCTCCAGACACCATTTTCATTTACCGCTCCATAGCTTCGCCTTAGTATTTTTCTTTCGAAACATCCTAACATGTTTTCATTGCTTTTTGTTAAAGTCCAGGTTTCTGAACCATATGTTAGGACTGGGCGTATTATTGTTTTGTAGAGTTTTACTTTTGTATTTCTTGGTATCACTGTAGATTTAAAAAGGAGATTAAGGTTAAAATAGCATCTATTAGCCGTGCAAATGCTGCGGTTTATCTTTGCGGTAGTGTCATTTTCAGTATTGACGAGCGTTCCCAGGTATACAAATTCGTTAACTGTTTTGATGACGTCGTTTTCTATAACAAGTGGCCATAGTATTTATGGTTGCGGAAATATTTTCATGAATTTCGTTTTATTATTGTTTGTTATTAAACCCATTTTTGTAGCCGCTTCCTTTAGTGCTACATACGCCTCTCGTATAGCCTCTCTCTCTCTCTCTCTCCTCTCTCTCTCTCTCTCTCTCTCTCTCTCTCTCTCTCTCTCGTATTTAATAGCCTCTCGTTTTCCGTTCTCCCAACAATATTAATATCATCAGCATATGCTAGAATGTGCACAGATTTGTTATATATTAGTTGTGATTTGTGACGTACGTATTACTTTTTCCAGAGCTTGATTGAATAGTAGAGAAAAGTTTTACCAAGTTGTATATTTACTGACTCAATCTTGTGCTAAATATAGTGCTCTATGGTAGAAAGAAAATTGTCAATGCCGTATTTACTGTATATTTTTAAAAATGACTTACCATCTTCATAAACTGGAGGTAAAAATCTTTGCATGGGAAGAAGAGATGCACCTCTCCATGGATTCTCCAAGTTATTACACGTACCATCAAAAGTTCTGTACCTCTTAGATGACAATGGGCATCTCGGCTTTCCTCTGAGAGGACAATCTTCTTCAAGAATTTTAGATTTTAAAGATATGGGCGAGTCGCTTATTTGGCGACTTACATTTTCTGGAAAGCTAAGAATAATTATTAAATTTTCCACAATATTAGGATTCCTAAAGAGAATGTCCACATTAATGAAACCTATTAAAAGAAACTTGAAATAATATTACAAAAACTTACGATTCAATAATCTTTCTTGTGGCCTCAAGTGACGCCATTCCAAAGTTAGATAACTTTTGAGCTCTTTTATTAGGTTTTCCAAATTCAGCAACTTTACTAGCAGGATGGTGTTTGTTCAAAAATAAACCTACAAAGAATTATAAACCCATAGAAATGATTAACTTATCAACCACAAGCAAAACTTACCCAGTTTAAACCAAAGCGGCTCCTTTATGCTTAATAAATTTTCTACAGTGTCCAAACCATATTTGACAGCTTCATCGACATTTTGATGTTCAAGAGTGTTCTTTTCAAATAAATTTCGACTTTTTTGATCTTCAAATACTCTTTGCTGCTCTCTGTATATTTTGGTGTTATTGGCTATATACAGCTTTAGTGCTGATGTTATAAGAATGGATTGGATCAACAGAATATGATGTAGAAATAATACCCTGCTTGAAGGCCTGTGTATATGAACCAAATATTTTAAGTTTTTGTAATTTGTTTTAGTATTTTTTGAAAACATTAATTTATTAAATAAACTAATAAAATATTCTTTAAAAGTCATGAGGAAATATAGTAAAAAGAAATAAAAAGGGAATGAATATGGCAAAAGGAGTGGAAAAATATTATAATAAAACACGAATTGTTAACACACTTTATTTCTTATTTAAAAATATTTTTAAAGGATATTGGTTCAAAATATAATGAATCCCAATGGATTCTTCAATTTTTTATTTAACAAATTTATTATATTTATTAAAAGGCTTTTTTCCGAATTTAGTATTTTTAATAAGGTTTAATAGGTATTGGCGGCTGGCGGCTTCCATTTCCTATAAACATTATTGGCTTAATTGACGAGTATAAGAAAACTAGCTACTACCTTATTGAACAAATAACAATACAAGAACAAGAACAAATCGGACGAATACAGAAGAAAACAAAGAGAAATAAAGTAAAAAATACCAGCGATTAAAGAAAAGTGGATGGCAGATAGATGTTCAGAAATGGAAGAAGAAAGAATTAGAACATAAACGTAAAATGTTTTATATGCACAAGAAAATTCGTCACGTAGCAGGCTTGTATAACAAGAAAAAGACTAATAATCTTGTAGATAATGCAGAAAAAATTATTACCGATAAACGATAAATACTTGAAGCATATAACTATATAACTGAATGGTTAATCTTTGTAATTTGGTATATTTAAAAATTTAAAAACCCTTAAAAGGGCTACATAAAAAAACACGAACGTTTTTGGAATGACAATTCCATCATCAGGTTTAAAAAAACACTAGGTTGACATATCTGAGCCACCAAAATATTTGGGTAAAAACCCTTTAAAATAAATTTAGTTATAAAAGGTTGTACATAATGTTGTTTTAAATATGTGATGTTTGATATTAAGTTAGATTTGGCTTCAGCTGACATACACCCATGGTTTGAATGAGTTCCAGTGTCCGGAGAGTAAACCTCTGCAGACGGACTTCAGCTGGTAACTCTACAGTTACACTTAGCAGTTAGATCTTTATACATTACGACAATATTTCTGTTGAGTATTTGTCCTCCACAGTTGTCAGAAAAAAAAACATTTCTTGTTTTCCTTTCAGAACCTTTTTTTCTATTAATTAACATAAGAAGCTACTTCATTGAATCCTTTCTGTTCTTTTGTTTTATCCCACATGTTGGCAAGTTATGAACATGTCCATCTACAAATTCAGTTTTAGTCAGTCTGTGGTCTGGAAATTGCAATTGTAAAACCGTTGTTGGCAATATATTTACAAAAACAAGAGTAGCGTTGCCACGATCTGGCGAGTGCAGAACTAGTCTATCTCCAGATAGGCTAGTTCTGCATTTAAATCAAGTCAGATTAGAAGAGAACTAATAAATGTTGACATACACTACTTCTTCACCAACAAAGTTATGATAATGGACATAGACTACTTCAGTATTATTTAAAATGCTTAAATAATTTAAAACCTGAACTTATAATATTTCTGCAGTAAGTACCCACTGTAACAAGGAGTTTTGGTCGAAAAAACAGCAAACAGCCAATTTTGGACATAGACTATTTATGTTCTAAGGTAGCTTATAGCGCCTCATTCAAATATATTTTGAAGAGTGTAGACCTATGTATATAGATATGTCTATATGTATATAGACTTTAAAGAAGCTTTTGATAGTGTGAAAAGACACAGAATGCTGGAAGACCTTTGTAATCTAGGTATACCTAAGAAATACATCAGCCTCATAAAAATGACGTTGCAGGGTTCAAAAGCCGCAGTCAGAGTAGATGGAGAACTGACTCCCCTGTTTAACATCAACATGGGAGTAAGACAGGGAGATGCCCCATGCTATTCAACCTAATTCTTGAGGCAGTCATCAGAAAAACCAATATAACCGGCCATATAAACACCAAATCAGTACAAATTACTGCATATGCAGACGATGTAGCCATCATTAGTAGGAATAAGCCACGACTAATGGAAGTGTTCAAACAAATTGATCCTGAAGCAAGAAAAAGAGGTCTCAAAATAAACGAAGCAAAAACGAAGTATATGACAGTCAAAAGAATAACTGACAATGAAACTAATATCACAATAGACAACTATACTATCGAACGAGTGGATGCCTTTACATATCTCGGCATAGAAATCAATCAGAAGAACTTCGTAAGTAGCGAAATTAATGCACGTATCTCCAGCGGTAATCGTACATACTATGTTAATAAAAGATTGATGACATCGAAATTATTAGACAAAAGAACCAAAATGACTATCTACAGAACACTGATCAGACCCGTAGTAACCTATGGATGTGAAACTTGGGTAATGACGAAAAAAGATGAAGCCCAACTCAGGACATTCGAGAGAAAAATACTGAGGAAAGTATATGGCCCGGTACAAGAGGAAGATGGCACATGAAGAATCAGGGAAACGACGAGGTTAATGAGTTAAATAAAGGTTATGACATTGTAAGATTTGTGAAAATTCAAAGACTGTCATGGCTGGGACATATGCAGAGACAAAACGATGCACAAACAACAAAGAAAATGTTACAATGAAAGTCCATAGGAAGGCGAAAAAAAGGAAGGCCCAGAACGAGATGGTTGGATGACGTGGAAGACGACCTGAAAACAATGAACATAAGACAATGGAGAAGAAGGCCACAAGAGAGATCTGAATGGAAGGACATAGCCAGACAGGCAAAGACCCATCCAGGGTTATGATGCCAAAAGAAGAAGAAGAAGAAGGTCCTATACAGCAGCCTTGTTTTAACCCTTACTATTAGGAATTTCTTTAGTTAATTTATTTCCAGTTTTAATGTCTACTGTCATGTTTTTATAAAGCTGTTTTTATACTTTTTATATGTATGAAAAACAAGTAATAAATGTATTACTTGTTTTTCCATTGCTACTCAGAGCATTGAAAGTTGTACACTATCGTATAACTTTGTTAGATATATACAGACTATATGAGTTGAAAGGTTGTGAGCTAATCTTTTCTCAACATCCTGCTTTAGAGAAAATATGCTATCTATACAGGGTTTGCCTGCACGAACGCCATTTTGTTCTTCTACATCTGTCATCTCTTTTTCAATTTTTTATGCTGACGACACTGTTATCCTATGCAGTCTCCAATAGTATCATCATTCTACATAACAATGCTATTTTTAAGTGACTTATACACCTTTATCAGCACTCCTTATCAGCAAGGAGAATATAAATGGGGCTCATCTATACATTAATGGGACGCAGATAGAGCGAGTAAAACAGTATTGTTACCTGGGAACTATTATTAACGAACAGTGGAGCAATTTACAGGAAATAAAGTGCCGCATAGGAAAGGCAAGAACGGTCTTTAACAAAATGAGCGCCATCTTCAAAAGTCACAACATATCCCTTGATAAAAAAATGAGACATTTGAGATGATATGTTTTCTCTGTGTTGTTGTACGGGACGGAGACATGGACGCTTACAGACACCACTATTAAAAAACATGAATCATTTGAGATGTGGCTTTATAGAAGAATGCTGAGAATATCATGGACAGCAAGGATCACGAACAAGGGAGTTCTAGGAAAAATGAAGAAGGAACCAGAGATTGTGTTTACGATCAAACGCATAAAATTGCAATATCTGGGACACGTTATGAGAAATCAGCACCGTTACTCCCTGCTACATTCTATATTGCATGGTAAAGTCAAAGGTAAGCGAGGACCCGGTAGAAGGAGAATATCATGTCTGCGGAATTTAAGAACATGGTTTAATAAAACCTCAACGGAGCTGTTTCGAGCCGCAGCGAGCAAGGTTATGATTGCCAATATGATTCCCAACATCCGAAACGGATAGGAACCAGAAGAAGAAGAATACACCTTTATAAGTTAAATCTGCTTAGTTATAGTTATAGTTGAACAGTATTTGTTTTATAGTGTGATTATTATCTATGATCTACTTAATCAGTAAGGAAACTAAGGTGAAAATCTGAAATGTAACTTGAAATATTTTTTTGTCAGTACTAAATAGAATTTTTAGAATTTGTTAAATATAAAATATCTGACATCTAAACAAGTTTTCATAGAACAATATTATTAAAGTAAAGGACAATATTTCCTATTTTGGATTTAAACCTTTTCTAAAAAATAATTTTTAAAGATATCAGTGACCTATTTCTGTCTCGGGAGAATTATATTTTTGTGAGTACGTTATTATTAATATATAAAGGAATTTTTCGTTCAATTAAGTAGGTAAAACAGACTAAAATAGTTCGTTGTAGCCTAAGCACAATTGCGCACGTATTCACAACTAATTTAAAAATAATAATTCAATACTAATTGCTACTAATGCTTTTTCATTTGCTGCACTTAAAATCATATTATTTTCCTTTAAAATAAGCATTATATATTAGATAAACTACATTATTATTAATTAATATTAAAATATATAAAGCACGAAAAAAATTTCCTATATTCTTCAAAATATTTCAGAGAATTATTGAATCATCATGGCTGAAAAACTATTGTATTTTGTAAACATTTTTAACACATTTCCATGTTTTAGTATCAGTTTTTCAGTCTTTGTTAAATTTTATACACGACAAAGGGGATAAAGCTGAACAAAAATTATTAAAAAAATGTTTCATCGTACAGTTATAGTTTTTTTTCATGTTTCATTTCCCCGAGATCTTTTTTACTTCTAATAATATTCTAGATCATTTGCATTCTATTTCAACTGATTATTTTTTTATTTTAGCTGCTTTCCTTTCCTTGTTTGATAATTATATTTAAAATGCTTGTAGTTAGTTTAATGATATGCAGCGAAATGATAGAGGAAACCGCCTTGTTCAGTTCTGCCAGGAAACGGATAGTGCAATAATGAACACCTTTTTCCAATTACCACCTCGAAGACTCTACACCTGGAAATCTACAGCTGACTGCCCAAAAAAAAGATTAGAAACCAGATTAACTACATCATCATCAACAAACGATTTCAGAATTCCGTAAAATCCGCAAAAACATATCCGGGAGC